GAAACGAGGTCCCGGTACGACCCCCCCCCCCCCCCGCACCACCTCTGCCCCTAACTGTTGGAACTAACGATGAGGGCAGATACATAAGATTTGCATGCCATCCGAGCGATTGAGGCTATTGGCACCGCCCGCGGAGGCTTCTCGGTTAGCAGGTAAACTGAAGTATTCGAAATCATCAAACAAATGCAATATAAGTAAAATCCCTGCCCTACCCTCGAATCACTAGGTGCTGTACAAGGCATATCCGGCCATCTCAATTTTGGTAAGTCAAAATATAAACTAACTAAAACAATAATATAATAAACTAATGTAAATCATAAATATAACTAATTAAATGAACAAACTACATCTTTTTGATATAAACACCTAAATAAAAACAAAATAACAGTAATTACATACAAATATTGAATGAATTGAAGGCAGTTGGCACGATGATTTGGTGCTCGGCCTAAAATGCTAGTAGGGCGCTATATAGTGGGGAAATGGCGAAAGAACGGAGTGAAACGGTCAAAATCCTGCGAAAAAAGAGCCTCCGTTCTCACTGTGTTAGTAATCAATTTTGGACGAGTTTCCCGAAGGCATCTTACCAATAACCGCTACCGAAGGTACGGCTGCATATGTGTACTCATATATCCATGCAGCATCACGGCCGCTTCATACCAATGCCTTCGCTTCATAATTTGCTTAGCAAATGAATCAGAGCGTCTGGAACAGTCGTCCATTTGTGGGCGGGCGGGCAAGGGGGCGTTTGGGACGTAAAGTTGTGGCTTGATAGCGCCCTTATAAGGGCACCTTCCCTGGAAAAGGCATTATGCAGCGCCTGCTCAGGGTCGCGGAATTCCGTCCTGCCAGGCGTATTAGTCCTGCTCGTCTTGGAGGATTTATCGTGCTTTAATCCTAGATTACCTATATTACAATGAAAATCTGGGAAATCGACGATACTCTGCCTATAAATCCCTAGGGAAGAAGAGCAGCCCCTGAACGTGGCCCAAATTGCGATCCGAGCGCAAGATGGCGCTGTAACGTTGACTGTTGACGAGGGGTGCGTTTTCCGACTTAACAGCTTTTCAGCAGAAGAGCTCATAGGAGACGGGAGGCAACCTGTAAACGTATACTGCATACTGTTTCGTTTTCTACCTACTCGCAGTCTGTATCTTATCCCGTTCATGAAATATGTTCGGATGAGTTACGGATGAGCTAGAGCTAAATTTATACTGCATACTGTTTCGTTTTCTACCTACTCGCAATCTGTATCTTCCCCGTTCATGAAATATTTCGGATGGGTTACGGATGGGCTAGGGGTAAATCGCGGGCTGGTTTTTATGCTTCATACGAGAATAACTTCTTTCAAACACAATCTTTTGCAAAACTAAAAACGCCATCAGAGCGCCCAGTATTTTCTCTTCCCAACAAGCTCTACAGTTTTCCTGAAGACCCGCTAGTTGAGAAGATATTTCAGATGGGTTATCCTCGCGCAAGGTTCTTAGCCACACAAAAGCTTGATTCTTTCTGTGAAATTGTAAGAATACTCAGTCACGAACTTCAGTATGCTCTCAAAACGAATATTTCCATTGCGCATAATTTGCTTTTCATCGGTCGAGTTGGTCCGAGTGTGCGCCGTGCATGACGCTTCTACGCAGAGGTGGTGGAAAGGT